GGTCTTCTGTGCTTTCTAAGGGCCCTGCGAGTCTTCTCGAGCATCATTAATCGCTCACCCTATGAGAAGATCATGTAATTAGTCTGGTTGATTGTCGCGAACAGAGCTCTAGTTGTGGCGTCAACACCTGCAGGAACGGGGATCTGCTGATATTTATTGGGTTCATAATTTAATGGAGGATGGTAGTCATCTTTGCACGGTTGTGGGCGACTGGAAGAAGAGGCGATCATTCCATACCTATGGTCTTGCTCAGGACTAGCCACATCGTTGTCGTTACCCGCGTTGTTATCATCAATGTTGTTATTGTTGGGGTCGGCGAAATGGATGTTTTGGTTATCATCGACAGCTTGGTCGACCATGACAATCAAAAGGTTGATGAAGAGTTGCTTTGGTCTTGAGAGGAAGACAAGGAAGTTGGATTCCCACAAACGGCGCCACTAATCGTACCTGATCAGAAGGGATTGTCAAGGTCCACGAGCTTTAAGTTGAGCAGTGGTTGAATGTGAAGTCGAGGGTACCTGCAAGACACTCCAATGCCAAATTAAGGTTCATAGTAAGTGCAAGTAAGTGTGTGAGTATGAGTGAATGAATACCTGACTCTCTCAAGTGAAAGGGTATTTATATCTTCTGACGCTGGGCCAAGGTCCCCATTGTTGGGCTGACCAAGCAGACCCAAAAATGGAGATTGTTAGGTCCTCGTGTGTAGTGGAGGCCAGCACGTGGTCCCCAACCTGAATGGATTCCTCCAAGTTATCAGGAGGATGTGGTTGCGGTCCTTTCGGGGTCAAGAGGGCTCCGTGATATTATGAGGCGTTGGGTGTTAGCCCTACGAGGAGGGTGCTCGCGAGGACCTCATAGGCATCGTTAGTCCTCCTCGTCAGTCGTGAGGTTGTCCCCGGAGGACATATCTTGATCGCCGAGAGGAGTAGAGGGTGCTCGCGAGGACCTCCTCAGTACGTTTGGTCCTCCTCGGCAGTCATGGGGTTGTCCCCAGAGGACATATCCTAGTCGACGAGAGGAGTAGAATTAATGCCCGACATTGTCAAGGGTAGACTCTCTCCTTCTGGTTTTCTCCTAAAGCATAGTTGGATTGGGCATTATATGATGTTTGGGCCAAGTGCAAGCCCAGTCCAAAACAGGTGCTAATACCTTCCCCTCGCTTAACAAGCTCTCTTACCCGATCTCTCGATCGTTTGATCTTGATTTCACCCTTCTCAAGTTTACTTGATGTTTACCTTTCTCTTCCGATAGAATAAAAAACGTTTGATGATGACTTCATTGATTTCATCTCGATGGTTTATTCAACCAGTTGTTTTATTATGACTTTCTGTTAGATCAGAGGTTGATACGAGGTACAATGTTACTTGGACTTGACTGTGAGGTTTACAATGTGCAATTGTGCATGTGTTAAATTTTATATGTGGAATTGTCCCTTTTAGGTATTGGCAATGATGTTGGTTGTTGCATATATACATGATGTTGTAGCTTAGTTTGAATTTGGCAATGGTGTTGTTGCATATGTACAATGTAAGTTTTTAAAGTTGTAGCCATGAGTAATTTTAAAAGCTACAATACAACAAATTTAAATTTTGTTGCATATGTATAAAAAAAATTTAAAAGACACAATCATGAGTTTTAATAGAATTTTTTTATTCAGTTTTGTTCAATTTCTCATTTCAATGCTACAACCATGAATAATTTTACATTTTATTTGCAGCCAGAGGATATACAAGCTCACCTTCCAGTAACAAACTACTTATGAAAGACCTTGACTGCTAGTGACACAAGCAGCATGGATATTTGATACGTTGAGTTTGCTTGTAAAATATTTGAAAATTTTAATTATGTGTAATATTAGATGTTTGTGTTGTGACTGCTACCAGGTTGATGAAAATGATATTTTTGTGCACAAATTTTTTATTTACAGTGTAATATTAGATGATTGTGTTGTGATTGTTGCCAGGTTGATGAAAATGATATCCCTGTGTAAGAAAATTTTATTTACTGTGTAATATTAGATGGTTGTGTTGTGACTACCGCCAAGTTGATGAAAAATGATATACTTGTGCAAGAAACTTTTATTTACAATGTAGGAAACTTTTATGAGCATGAAATATTGAAACACTTATTTACGATACTTATTTTTATGTGGTTTAAAACACGGGTTAAATATACAATACTTCTTATAATATAGGCGAATTTTAATTTAGCTCATGTAAAAAAAAATTAGATCACTCTCTTGAAATGTTAAAATTTTATGTCTTTTGTCTCCTAAGTACAAAAATTATCCTCTGTAATTTTTATTTATTTTTATTCACCCCAGATTTAGTATTTAATTTGTACGCTTAGGGGGTAAACAAAAAATAATAATTACAAGGGATAATCTAATTTTTTTCAGAAGATAAATTAAAATCCGCCTATATTATAGTGGTAAAGTGGTATTAACCCTTAAAACATTTACAATGGAGTAAACTTTTATTTACATATTTTTTATAATTAAAATAAGAATCATGTAACCGAACAAACCGATCTGTATTAATCGATAATCCGATAAAACCGAATTCGAACTAACTGAGATATAGATCAGTCGACGACTAATGACTTGGACTAATTTGACATTTTGGGTTCAAATTAAACCCAAACCGACCATATATCTATCCCAATACGATAACACGCGTCTTAAATTAATAGATAAAAATATTATTTTAAAAAAAGAAATGTTAACGAATTTTTTAAGAATCTTCTTTAAAAAATTGACTTTTTTTATTAAAATTTATGTAGTTCGTGAATGAAAATTTAAAATGTTTAACTTTTTAAAGAATAATTTTTATTTGATTTAAAAAAATCTAATATCCATTTTTATAAATAATTAACTTGAGGGATTAATCTCATTATTCTTAAAGAGATGACTAAATTAAAGTCAAAATCTTGTTTGATATGAACTAATCTTTCCATAACAATTTATAAATAAATTTAATTTTTTTGGTAAATTTGGTAATTAATGTATATAGTCTATATATAGATTAGATATATTAATTATCAAATGTATCAAAAAAATCAAATTTTCTTACAAATCGTTCCAGAGAAACTAATTTAATTGGAAAATAATTGTTTTGTATGGACCAATTCAACAAAGATATTGTTCTTCGTTGGATGGATGAGTCTCAAACTAATATATTAAAAATAAAAAATTTATTTTAAATTCTTAAAGATATTAAGGGTACTCCATCCTTTTCATAATAAGCGTTTTATTTGAATCATGTGCGGTTTTTAAGAAAATGATTAGATATGTTGATTTTTGTGATAAAATTAATATTATTTGCTAAAACACTCATATTTATTATAGTTAGTTGAGTAGTTGAAAAACGTGAAAGTTACTCACTCTGTCTCATAATAAATGTCTCATTTGCATTTTTCTTCTTCTATTTTTTAAATAAATGTCTCTTTAAAATGTCAATACAATATTTTTTTTCACTATTATACTTCTATTTATTAGTTTTCACGTTTTTTAATTATTCTACTAACTATAATAAATAAGAATGTTTTAGTAAATAATATTTCATCCGTTCTACAATGAGTGACTCATTTGAAATAAAATAAAATCCTAAAGCAAATGATCTACTTCAATTTTCAATACATTTTTTTCAATACTATCTTCTATTTAATTAAACTTTCATCATTTTCAATGCATGATTAGAGGTAATATAGTAAAAACATTATTCTCTCTTATTTTTCTATATATTTTTTAATATGTGTGAAATGGTGGGTTGAGTCATTCATTGTAGGACGGATCACTAAAATCAACACATCTACTCATTTTCTTAAGAACCACACAAAGTTCAAATGAGACAATTATTATGAGAAGGAGTAAGAAATATGGATATAATAGTGAAAAATTAATAAATGTTGTATTGATATTCTAAAGAGACATTTATTTTAAGACATATAAAAAATGTAAATGAAACGCTTATTATAAGATAGAGGGAATATTTCTTAACATTTTAAAATTTTCATATTCAATTTTTTTAAATTGATTTTTTTTTCATTAGATTTTTTTTAATGTTTTAACACTTCTTTTAAAGCCTAATTTTGTAGACAATAGTACTCATTTTGTTTGGCTTTTGTCCAGTTATCTAGATAGTAGTCGATCCGTTTTAAAATAACTATTATTTAAGATTTTTACACACAAATTAAAAAATATAATAATATTATCTTAATACATTATATTTTTATAAAATTAACTTTATTAATATATTATAAATATCAAAATAAAAAGGTAATAAAAATAAAAAAATTGATAATCATTATTATATTAAAAAATAAAAATAATAATCATTATAAAAATAAATTTTATTTATTAAAATTATAGTAATTTTGAAACAGAATACTTCATTCGTAATAAATTATAAATAAAAATTAATTTATTTTTGTATATTTGATAATTAATATATATATATATATATATATATATATATATATATATATATATATATATATATATATATATATATATATATATATATATATATATATATATATTATATATATATATATATATATATATATATATATATATATATATATATATATATATATATATATATATATATATATATATATATATATATATATATATATATATATATATATATATATATATATATATATATATATATATATATATATATATATATATATATATATATATATATATATATATATATATATATATATATATATATATATATATATATATTAATTATCCAAATATATTTAAAAAAAAAGACAAATTTAATTATAATTGTTCCTCGATTAGGATATAGACACAATTATTGTTGTTTTGCAACAAAGTAAGACGTTACAAAGGCAGCTTTTGCTTTTATAAATAGCAGACTCCCAAGCAGCATATTGTGTCTTGCAGGTGGCACTTTGCTCCTTCCTTCATTGGTTGGTTGGCTGGCTTGTTTTTGCTTTTCATTTTCCATTTCACACACTTCAACATGACTCTCTCCCTTTCCCTCACCACCATTCTCCTTTCCCTTTTCTCCTTTTTCCTTCTACACGCCCATGCCAACCCATTCCGTTCCTTTCACCACCACAACCACCCTCACTTCGCCACTCACAACTACAGAGACGCTCTCACCAAATCCATTATCTTTTTCCAAGGCCAGAGATCAGGGAAACTTCCGCCTAACCAGAGAATCTCTTGGAGAAGAGACTCTGGTCTCTCTGATGGCTCAGCATTGCATGTATGTAAACAAATTTTTATCAATATCATATATTTCTAGTGGTTTTTAACTTTTTATGCTTATGTTTGTTTTTAATGTACAATGTAGGTTGATTTGGTTGGAGGGTACTATGATGCTGGTGACAATGTTAAGTTTGGTTTTCCTATGGCTTTTACTACCACAATGCTTTCATGGAGTGTTATTGAGTTTGGCGGGTTGATGAAAAGTGAGTTGCCGAATGCTAAAGAAGCTGTTCGTTGGGCTACTGATTATCTTCTTAAAGCCACTGCACATCCAAACACCATTTACGTTCAGGTTAGTTCATGATTTTGTAGTTTCTTTTGTGAAGAAAAAACAGAGGAAATGAGGTTGATTTGAGATATTTGTATGTGCAGGTGGGTGATGCTAAAAAGGACCATGCTTGTTGGGAGAGACCAGAAGACATGGACACTCCAAGAAGTGTTTTTAAGGTTGATGCAAACACACCTGGCTCTGAAGTTGCGGCGGAAACTGCTGCGGCATTAGCGGCGGCTTCTCTTGTTTTCAGAAGAAGTGATCCAACATACGCCAAGATTTTAGTAAGAAGGGCCATCAGGGTAAGCCTTTCATTCATAAATATATATTTCAACTTTATCCTTCTTTAGCATAAAATCTGAGACTGTAATTGTTTGTGATGTATAGGTTTTTCAGTTTGCTGATAAACACAGAGGATCTTACAGCAATGCCTTGAAACCCTTTGTGTGTCCATTTTACTGTTCTTACTCAGGTTATCAGGTAAACTTTTGATTTTTTCCAATTTTTCTAATGTGCCATTTTTGACTCATGCTCAAAAGTATAGAGTATAGTACCTATGATGATTGATATGTTGATGATAAATTTGTTAGGATGAGTTGTTGTGGGGTGCTGCTTGGCTCCACAAGGCCACTAAGAATCCAATGTATCTGAAATACATTCAAGTTAATGGTCAAATCCTAGGAGCTGCAGAGTTTGACAACACATTTGGTTGGGATAACAAACATGTTGGAGCAAGGATACTTCTTTCCAAGGTCCTAAATTTCATCATTACATAGTATTAGTAACTAGCAAATTAACCAAAAATGGTTTGAAAGCTAGCTTACATGTTTTTTTATGTTGGTTTTATGTGATATCAGGAATTTCTAGTTCAAAATGTAAAATCACTCCATGACTACAAGGGTCATTCAGACAATTTTGTTTGTTCTTTGATTCCTGGAGCTGGTTCCTCATCTGCACAATATACCCCAGGTAAAGTAAAGTCCCTTATCTTTCTCACCACATTTTTACTCATGTGGTCCAAGATGTAACTTTTTTTGAGGTTGTAATAAACTTTACAGGTGGACTTTTGTTCAAGATGAGTGATAGTAACATGCAGTATGTCACATCCACTACCTTCTTACTGGTCACATATGCCAAATACTTAACCAAATCACATTCAGTTGTGAATTGTGGTGGTACTACTGTAACACCAAAGAGACTCAGAACTTTAGCCAAAAAACAGGTAAAAAAAACTCTGAAGTTATAACAATACCAAGTTGAAATATGTATATATTTTATAACTTGGCTGGTTTTTTTTTATTAGGTGGATTATTTGTTAGGAGACAACCCAATGAAGATGTCATATATGGTTGGCTATGGACCAAAGTATCCACAAAGGATACACCACAGAGGATCATCACTTCCTTCAATGGCTGTACACCCGGGAAAGATCCAGTGTTCAGCAGGGTTTGGTGTGATGAAATCACAATCACCAAATCCTAACATTCTAGTGGGTGCTGTTGTTGGAGGACCAGATCAGCATGATAGGTTTCCAGATGATCGTTCCGATTATGAACAATCAGAGCCAGCTACTTATGTTAATGCACCACTTGTTGGAACACTGGCTTATCTTGCACACTCATTTGGTCAACTTTAAGATCCAACTTGTTTGGGTGAATCTGATTATGATGTTTTAGTTTTAATTTTTCACTAATTTGGTTAGTACTTATAATTAGTTAGATTTCTTAGGAGAAGCTTTTAAAAGCTCTCATATGTTATGTTATTGTTAAGTGGCATATATGTCAAATGATGTTGTTAAAATTATCAAGAAATTCAATGTTTAAAAGCAAATCACAACTGTAAAAGTGGTTAGTTTTTTTTTGTTTTTTTTGTTATCATCAATTTTCAAGATTATGGTTAGGACAAAAGGACAAAAGGATAAAGTAAAGTTAGGGGGATAAAGACATTGGTGAACAAAAAAAAGTTTATCAGTACTACAATGAACTTTTCCTAGAAAATTGGAACTAATCCTTTGTTAAATACACTTGAATAAACAAATAAAAATGTATCTTTGACCAAACTGAGAAATTTTTCCAGCGCCAAACTGTTGAAGATTCTCCTCGAGCAACATGGAAAACTGGTTGAAATTGTAACCCTTGTGGCGTGAAATGGGAAATTTTGTCTTGTTCATCATAGATTTTAATACAAAAGAAATGACATCAATGATGTGCATCAATGAGATTACTTGATCAAGTGGTTAATAATGTTGGAATACATGAGCAACATATAGTGGTGATCTGTGCTAGAATTTGTTGGATAATTGGTATAACTTGCTTTTGTTTGGATTATAACTACAAGTTACTAATTTAAGTTCAAATTGTTACCCTTGTGTGAAATTAACATTTATTAAAAAAATGATTAATTGCAATTAATTTTCTTTCTTTATTGATGTGCATCTTTTGAGTTACAAGATTTTACAACTTATAGGCTCTTCTTGAATGATATCTTATGAACACCACACTTTCATTTTGTCATCTAGCTTGTTATTTTTTTGATCAGATATGTGTTTGAATATAGCGGATCAAACACTTTTAGATGATTTGCACTTAGTTTTCTTTCACCCCAAACTTTCTTAGGCACTTTCATCTTTAATTTATTGGTGGAGCATTTGTTTCTCTTGCCAAAATCCATGAGACATGTTATGTTTTAGCATCCTTCTAACCATATCAAGTAATCATATTTTAGCTTGATTCAAAGTGCTGCAATGATTATGTTAAATCATTGTGTCGAAAAATATATAGTGAGGTAATTTCACGAGTTATGCCTAGTGTAAAATGAGTCAAATTCTTATGAGGTATACTTTCTATCATCATCCGTTCTCAACCTTTATTGTTTTTCCACTCTCTTGTACAATTAAGGTTTTTTATTTCTTGAATATTTCAAAAGTCCCACTTTTGAACTTAATGGTATAAAATCACAACATTATTGTATGTTCATCAATAAAAATAATGAAACATTTACTTCCACCTGCTGATGACACTTCAAATGGTCCACATATATTAAAATGCACAACTTTTAGTGTAGCATTTGACCTTTTAGATATGTTTGATGCAAAAGACAACCTACTTTGTTTTCCTCTCGAAAAATAATTTAGAAGACATCTTGTTTGAATTTAGTTTAGGTAGACTAGAGACTGAGTTTTAAAAGCTCAATTCATTTAGGCTTATAAAGTTCAAGTACTCACATCTGATGTCAAAGCCACTCAAGATCATCATAAACAGTGCTTGACAAGCACACCTCCTTCGTATTTTGGATGCTACACTTAAATGTCATGTTCGTTGACGATATGGACTTCAGTGTCAATTTCCTGTAAATACTAAAAAGATGTAATAAATTATCATTCATGGTAACTGGGAATTTATACTTAACCAATTATCCAATGTTCATGAAATTGCACATCATACCAGATACATATAGTATATTTTCTATCAGGGCATTACTGTCATGTTTTCTCTTGTTGACAATGTCACTTATGTGTTAGACAAAAGACTCCAAATACAAAAGAGAGAGGTGAATCGTGTAAGTTGAAAAACGATAACCAATTATAAAAGTCTTGACCCATAAAAACTTTGAAATCAAATTTATAAGTTAAACAAAGAAGAAGCTACAAAATATTTAAAAGAATGAAAATCAACGAGATCATGAGATGCAAATGCAGTGGAAACAAAATAAATAATTGAAATAGAAAGAGATAATGAAAAAGAGAAATGCACCATCGATTTATACATATGATTATAAGTGCGTTTATTACAACCATGGTATATTTCCTATAAACTGAAAAATGTGTTACCTATAACAACGATTGTATTGAACAACTGTAGTAAAAATATTTAAGATCTTGAGTTCGTACCAAACAACGTTATTTTTGGTGTTTATTATTCTAGATAACACTCTACCTATAACAATGATTGTATTAAACAATCGTTGTGAAATTAATTGGGTTTTAAAATTTTGTTTGTTTGTGATTTTACAAAATTCTCAATTTTTTAACTTGAATTTTTTTGAATCGTATCAGACTCGAAACTACAATACATCTATTTGTGAATCGTATCAGACTAAACATTGTATTACATCAAAATCAAAATTACATTAGAACCAATAATTGTATATTACATAATAATCAAAATAGAATAAAATAACCTACAATTTACACATTATTACATTAAATAATAGTATCTTGGTGTATTGGTGTCTTGTCTCTTGACCTTAAATACCTATTTCAAATGATAATAATAATACTTGTTAGTAAATAACCTTAAAATTATAAATTACAATAAATTATGTATATAGAATAAAAAGTACTTATTTGTTTATTTTTTCATGTACCTTCTTTATGATCGTTACGAATAACATGCATATCATCTATATCAACTTCTTCATATGAAGTTGGCACATGTGTTGTATAAGAATGAGTGAAAGAAATATCAAAATTTTCATCGTTATGAGGAATGTATTTTCTTTAGAGAATAATTGACCATCTCCTCGATAAGTCTGAAGGATTTGTCATGTGAAAAACTTATTTTGCTTGAGTAGCCATGATGAATGTTTCGGTCATATAAGTTGTCTTGCCAAAGTTAACCCATGTGAATCCTAAATCATCATTTTGTACATCATTGTTATTGAGAACCAGCTTTCACTTAAATAAAGGCACTTTGAAAATAACATAATCAATCTCCAAAATATTCTCAATGACACCATAGAAAGCTTTAGATGTCAATATAGAATTCTTATCTTTCAAACTAGAGAAATACATGAATTCGGACTCAATCATAATCCCACTATTCTACATTGTACTACAATCATCCTTTGCTTTTGTATAAAAGGAAAAATTACTAATGTCGTGTGCAGTCTAAGTTATCACGTTAAATTTTGACATGTACAACAACCATTTAATTATCTCGAATGTACTGCCATCATTAGAAATCAGTTTATTAAACTAACTTATGAATTTCTTGTTATGCTCTGCCAACAACTACTTATCACTCATTCGGGGATATTTTTTCTTCACAAGTCTTTTATAAGTAGCTATGTAAAGTTGAACTTCATCAAGATTATATATATATATATATATATATATATATATATATATATATATATATATATATATATATATATATATATATATATATATATATATATATATATATATATATATATATATATATATATATATATATATATATATATATACACTTCAAGAACTACATCCCGATCCATTGACTTAATATTTAAACCTTGAGTATATTTACCTTCATATTTGTCAGCATGACGAGACTTTGAAATTCTTATAAACTCTATTTTCGAAAAATAGTTTGAACAAAACTCAACAGATTCTTCTGTGATGTACCTTTCAACGATCGAAGCTTGTGATCAATGATTATTCTTCGTATATCCCTTAAAGATCTGCATGTATCACTCTATTGGATACATCCACCTTAAATAAAGTGAATCACAAAATCTAATTTCTCTGACTAGATGAACAAGTGAATCATAATGTCAAAAAATGATGGAGAAAAATACATCTCCAATTGACACAAGATTATTGCAGTCTCGTATTCCAATTCATCTAATTTTTTTAAATAAACAACTTTATTATATATATCATTGAAGATAAGCACAATCTGGTTATAATTACTCTTATATTTTTGAAAGGATGCCACAAATAGTCATTGGTAGAAGTTGTTGCATCAAGACATGTCAATCATGAGATTTTAAGCCAATTAACTTGAGATCTTTCATTGATACAAGTTTCTTGATGTTTGATGAGTAACCTTGGAGAAATTTGATACCATGCAAACATTTACAAAAACTTTTATTTTTCTTTTTAGATAGAATGTGACATGTCAGAGGCAAATAAGTCCTTTTTCCTCTAGTCTTGTTTGAAGTGTTTAGAAGCTTTCTTATCAAACTATCACACACATTTTTTCTTCACATGCATCATATCAAGACAATGTCTTACATTGAGGCTAGACCAATATGAAATATTTAAGAAAAATGATCTCTTTTTCTAAATATTTCTCTCAACGTGATCTTTTTTATTCTTTCCAAAGACAACAGTAAGGTGTTCTTGTCGTTGATAAACTTCATTGCCCGTTAAAGATATAGGAGACATTTCCAACTCTTGTTCTCTGTTAAAAGTCTTCCACAATCTAAGATAAAGATGCTTGAGTTTTAGAAATTTACGATGTCCAAGATAAACAGTCTTTTTTTCAAACTCAAGTTGGTGAAAACAAATATTAGATTCACATATAGGACACACTTTATGTCATTTGACACAATATCCATCCAAATTACCATATGCATGAAAATCGTTGATTGTGCAAAATAACATTGCACGCATCTTAAACTTTTCACCAGAATATGCATCATCAACATCAACACCTTACTCCCACAAAAGTCTTAAATCTTCAATATTTAATGGACTTATATAAACATCTATGTCGTTTCTAGGTTGTTTTGGTCCATAAATCATCACACTTAACATCATATACCTGCGCTCCATATCCAATCAAGGAGATATGTTGTAAATCGTGAGAAGAATAGACCACGAAGAATGGTTCGTACTCAGATTATCAAAGGGGTTCATTCCATCCGTGA